GGTCCTACATAGATTGCAGGACAGTTGCTCAGTTCTCCAAGCGACACTTGGATTGGCTGATAGCATCAGTATTATTATCTCAGCTAGCTGAAGCAGGGTGAAAGCAGCAAAACCAGCGTGCCAGGAGAATAAAGATAGTTAAAACTTTTCTTGTTATAATTCTAGTGGGAATGAATAGTATAGCACTTTACGTTAAACTTGAAATGCAACTAAGTCAAGAGAAATTAACTTATTATTTTGAATCAAGAATAAAGAACTTTATAGAAAATACAACAAGTAGAGTAGAGACAAAACACAAGATTATATATTATTCTGTGATTAATGTTTCTCGAGACGATACATTTGTTTATCACGCAACCCTTCTATGGAAATTTACTGGACCTTAATGGAATAAAGCAACATGTGTTTGAGATGCAGATACTAAGATCTTAAGATAAGGTTTTTATTGTTTTCTTTGTTGAGATTATACTGAAACATATATCCAAAACAGCCTCGGCCACATTAACCTGGACATGTTTGTAGACTAGGAAGTCTTTAGACATGTCCATCTCTTTAAAGGACCACTATAGGCACCCAGACCACTTCAGCTCAATGAAGTAGTCTGGGTGCCAGGTCCCTCTAGTTTTAACCCTGCAGCTGAAAACATACCAGTTTCAGAGAAACTGCTATGTTTCACTGAGAGTTAATCCAGCCTTTAGTGGCTGTCTCACTGACAGCTGCTAGAGGCGCTTCCGCGATTCTCACTGTGAAAATCACAGTGAGAAGACGCTGGACGTCCATATGAAAGCATTGAGTAATGCTTTACTATGGGCGGTTTTAATGCCGCGCATGCGCAATCCTCACTGACGTCAGCAGGAGGATGGGAGGGAGACAGTGCCGAGGGAGCCAGCGCTGGAGAAAGGAAAGTGGCTGAAGGGGTTTTAACCCCTTTAGCCCAGCGGGAGGGGGGCCCTGAGTTTGTTTTTCTGGCACTATAGTGCTCCTTTAATTATTCAATCGTGCCATTTGTCGTGACTTGCCCATAGTGTGACTTTCCTTCAACGGAAGCTACACTGAGTAAAGCTACCAGATCGGCTATGATTAGCCCACCAATGTCCAACGAAATAAATGTCAGCATACGTTTAGCATTGAAAATATTAAAAAGCCACAGAGTTAGAGTTGATATTACAATGTGGTATTACCAGACATTTTGGAACTAGATACATGCACAAAAACCTTTATATATCAGGACATCTCAAATGGATATAAATTTATGAAAACCTCATATATCTCTTTTCGTAATTGTTCTTCTTGAAGAACTGAAATATAGCTAACAATATTATGTTGTGTTACTCCCAGTGTAGTAACTAGAGGAGATGATGATTGCCCCACATGTGCACTAGCTTTCCCAAGCTTCCTTTTGGGGAAGCATTGGATTGGCTGACAGTATTGATAATCTCAGCCAGCAGAAGCTGGGTGAAGGCAGCGTGTTGGGGGAATAAAGATAAGTAAACCTTTTTTTAATTAATTCTAGGGGGGTCTGAAACTACATACGTAGTATAGCACTCTTGTGTTTGCAATACATGTTTGTATTCCTAACGCAAATGTGTTCCTTTAAGTTAAAGTTGAGATGTAACTAAGTCAAGAGAAATTAACTCATTGTTTTAAATCAAGAGTTAAAAATGTTATAGAAAATATAACAAGCAGAGTAGAGAAAAAAAATTACAAATACTGTTTTGGTTAATGTTTCTCTAGATGATAAAAAACTGTTTATCATATAACCCTTCTATAGAAATTTACTGTACCCCAATGGAAGAAAGCAACACGTGTTTGAGATACAGATACTGAGATCTTAAAGGAACACTATAGGGTCAGGAACACAAACATGTATTCCTGACCTTATAGCATTAAAATCATCATCTAGCCCACCTGGCCCCATCATGCCTCCCTAAATACAGTAAAATCTTAATTGTATTCAAGTCTGGAGCTGCTGCCTCTGCCTCTGAACTACATCTGACCTCTGATATCATCAGAAGTGGTGGTCTGAGCCAATCACAATTCTTCCCCATCCGTCAAGGAGGCAGATTTAGTGCAGAGCAAGCACGAATCAAACACAGCCCTGGCCAATCAGCATCTCCTCATAGAGATACATTGAATCAATGATCTCTATGAGGAAAGTTCAGTGTCTGCATGCAGAGGGTGGAGACACTAAATGTTGTGATGCATACTAGGCAGGACTGCCCAGTGAAACTGCTCTAGCAGTGGCCAGTGAAGTTATCACTAGGCTGTAATGTAAACACTGCATTTTTCCTGAAAAGACAGCGTTTACTGCAAAAGGCCTGAAGAAAATGATTCTACTCACCAGAACAAATGCAATAAGCTGTAGTTGTTCTGGTGACTATAGTATCCATTTCAGATATATTTTTTTTTTTAGTTTTGCTGAGATTATCGAGCAACATACATCCAAAACAGCTTCGGCTAAATTAAAGAAACACTCCAGGCACCATAACAACTCAATATAAATGTTTTTATGGTGGCAGGAGGCCACCTGATGTGCTCTTACCTCAAGGTGTCAAACAAACAGTTTAAACCCTTGAGGTACGAATGTGCCTTTGGGCCTCCTAGCACCATAAGGCATCATAAACAACTTAATTTAGATGACATTGTTATGGTGCCTAAACTGTCCCTTTAATCTGAACTTGTTTGCACACTAGGAACTAGGAAATAGACACGTCCAATTCTTTAATATACTAAATATGCCATTTGTCGTGACTTGGCCGCAGTTTGTCTTTCCTTGAACGGAAGTTGCACTGAGTGAGGCAAGCAGATCAACTGTGATTAGTCCAGCAATGTCCACTGAAATTAATGTCAGCATATGTTTGGCATTGAACACATTTTCAAAAAACACAGTTTTTAAAGTTATTTCTCTTAAAACTTGCCTTCTGCTCTAAAACCTGACCGAGCCACCTGCTCATTTTTAAAAATGTTATAAAATAAATCAAACTTTTTTTTTGCACAAACTTTGGCAACAGTTGATAAATGTGTGTTTTAACAGTTATAATGATGTAAAACATGGTAGAAGTTTCATCACATTTTACTGCCTATCATTCATTAACGGAAATATTAAAGAACTCTGATTGGTTGCTTCCCAGCAGGTATTTCTATAGGAAGTGACTGTCGATGATCTCAGCTTATGTCCAAACCTGCGATAATAAACTAAATAAAAGATAATATTCATCGTAGTATCAAATATTTTAAAGGTTACTCGCAGGCTTACTCCCTGAAGTCAGAGTTTGTTTGATGGAAATTCGATTTCAAAGCGTATTTAAAATTTAAGGGGAAAGAGAGGGTTCAGAGAAGGGCTACTAAACTGGTTCATGGATTGCGGGATAAAACTTACCAGGAAAGGTTAAAGGATCTTAACATGTATAGCTTGGAGGAAAGACGAGACAGGGGGGATATGATAGAAACATTTAAATACATAAAGGGAATCAACACAGTAAAGGAGGAGACTATATTTAAAAGAAGAAAAACTACCACAACAAGAGGACATAGTCTTAAATTAGAGGGACAAAGGTTTAAAAATAATATCAGGAAGTATTACTTTACTGAGAGGGTAGTGGATGCATGGAATAGCCTTCCAGCTGAAGTGGTAGAGGTTAACACAGTAAAGGAGTTTAAGCATGCGTGGGATAGGCATAAGGCTATCCTAACTATAAGATAAGGCCAGGGACTAATGAAAGTATTTAGAAAATTGGGCAGACTAGATGGGCCAAATGGTTCTTATCTGCCGTCACATTCTATGTTTCTATGTTTCTATGTAAAATAGTGAAAAGCATAACTGACTTGGAGAATACATCGGGGAAGTTTGGCCTTAAATTTTAAATTCCTAACAATTCTCGCGTCAGTAAATAATGCTGCAAGTGTCAACAAAATATAGAGATGGTATTAATCTGATCCTAAAAGTTTATAGAATAAAACAGGATTTACAATGTTATATAAAAAGTATAAATAAAGTGGATCATGTAAATTAAATAAATTAAAATCTAAAACCAGAGCCAGTGTGTTTCCACCCCAAATTTTAAGATTCTACCAATATGTCTTTTTTGGGTTCTTGGAATGTTGTGGTCATTGAGCATTTAGTGATATATACATCTAACCAAGCTGTTTCCCATCTTCGGCAATAACCAACAGGAAGCAGTATTTAACCACTTCCTGACGACAGGGGGTGCTATGTCGTCCTACAAAAGGAGAGATTTAACGCTGTTAGGGAGGAATGGCAGTCCCTAACAACTGAGCCCTCACTCGAGTCAACCGAGGCTGACCCCCTGCCGCCAATTCCGCTGATCCGAGTCATGTGATCGTGATGACAACGCAATCACATGACTCGGATAAGCGGGATTGGCAGATTACCTGCAGGGGGACTGCCTGGGTTGTTAGGTAGATGCCCCGACATATAATTAACAAAACCACTTAATTTTTATCATAAATAATAAATACATGTCAAATTGAATTCTAAGTGTATTTTTATATTAATATTTATGCACTTATACCAAGTACACAAGCAAAGAAAAAGACCTAACCAGACACTTGGTCTGGATGATTACAAGGATAAAGCTAAAAACATATTAATTATTTTTTTTTAAGAGACAGGTATATCTAAAAAGCACCCCAAATGAACACAAAGCAAAAAGAATGTCTGTACCTAAAGTGGCGCACATAGTATACATGTAAAAGGTAAATGAATGATTATCCAAAGGGCAGGATAGTGGTTTGTTTAGGTAATCATTATATTTATTTATAATTTACATATATAGTAATTATATGTAATATTTAAATATATTTGTCTTTTTTTTTTTTTTAGTATATTTTGGGACCTGCCTGACAAACCAGGCAGAAACACCAGAGAATTTAATTTTCAAGTCTTATATTTTGACCTTGTACCTTTACAAAACCCTATAAAACCTCTACAGGAGGGGTGAGGGGCAGGGGGAGGGGCAGAGGGAGGGGCTGTTGTACTCGTGAGACACTCACAGACAAAGGTGAGTGTCTTATAGCACTAAGATGGATAATAACAATAATATCATCAATAAAAGTGTAGATTTCTGTGTGGAAAATGCCAAAAACAAATGACAATAACGTTGGCTAGGGTTTGTGACAAAGAGGCGGCTAAAAAAGATTGGATGGGGGGCCTAACCATCATGGCTGACAGACGTGTTTTGTGTGGGCTTCACACACAATTCCTATAATCTACAAGATTGAGACGAAGTCACATTCCCACTTACCCAAGCGATTACTGACTTGATCCTGACTTCTTGGGAGCACTTTGGAGTGATCTTGGCGTCCCATTATCTAGCCTGCAGCCTGCAATGGCTACTGCGACCTACTCACCTGGCTTAACTTACAGAGGGGAGAAACAGCCAATCTTTCAGCCTGGGACCTGTGGGGGATATCCCTGTCCCCACCGGGGAAACTACTACTGAGCACTACTGTGACTGCCTGCCCAACCACAGCAAGCCCTCGTGGCACAGTCAAAATGGCCAACACATCGACGGAGTTACTCGTGAGCAACTGGGAGGCCAAGTATCTTGTCACCTTTGATGATATCTGCACGACTTTCTGGAAGTCGACTCCCGCATGAAGCTGACACACATAAATCCATCTCCTGCCATGCAGCTCCCCGTTGCCAACACCCTCGCCTCTGGACTGGAGACCAGTATTGCTCAAAGCCCCCACCCACCAGCACCTCTTGCTATGCATGTGGCCAACCCTGTTGTCCCGGCCGCTCGCACTTTTTATGAGTTGGGTGCCCATCTGGAGATTTCCCTCCACAGTTATCCATGCACCCAGGGGGACAATCGGTTCCTGCAGAACCCATGGGCCCACAATCCTGATGAGGGGAACGATGGGCATTAGTCAAGGGCTCCCATTAAGGCCTTGGGCTATAGTCTTGTGGTAATATGGCAACACGAAGCTACATGCAGCCGGCTGCAGGCTGTACCATCCAGTCTACATTACTTGAAGCATGGAGGGGTGGACGACAGTCTATACTGCGACCAAGTTTGGTGATACAACCCGGCATTGGAACTACCTTTCTAAGCCGACCAGCATGTGGTGTCAGATAATTTCTAATTATTGCTTATTTTTCTGCTTGTGTCATGTTTCACTTGTGTCCCTTGGTTTCCAGAGGTATCTTACTACTTATTACTTTATTTTATGTCTAATGTGTTATACTCTACGACATGGCAATACTGCACGTATCCGCTGTACTACTGAGCTCTGTGCCTACTTTATTACTCACACTGCTGCACTGGTTACTCTTACAAAGTCGCTTATCTCTGTGTTTAGTGTGCCATGCAGGTCCCATACACATTGTCCAGACCTTAAAAAATGAGGCCATCCAGTCTATTGTGGGACATGCCACAGATCACACCATTACATAGCCTTGTTCATGTTATGTGCCGATACTTGATTAGGATAGGTATGTATGTATATTATCGCTCCTGATGTTTATCTACTCCTTGCTTTGAGGTGGTGTTGTCACCACAATAGTGTTTTGTTTTTATGACTCAACCCACAATAAAAACACAGATTGACAAAGAAATACTGGACATACCCCATTTTGAATACCCTGGGTTGTCTACTTTTGCAAACGGTATGCCATGATTGGTGTGATTTTTTTAAGTCTTGGGCTGACATTTGGTCTCAAAGGCAACATAGGCCCAGCAAACCAATCTGGAAAATTTCAATTAGTAACAAATGAAATGGCAAGCTCTTTATGTGACCCTGTAAATAACCAAAACACCATAAAACCTGTATGTGGGGGGCATTGTTGTACTTGCGGGACATCACAGCATACAAATAGGTCTGTTTTATCGCAGTAAAGGCTAAAGCATTATTACATTCAGAGGTAAATGCCATGCAGCACTGGAAAAATAACATTTCTTAATTTCTTAAATTTTTTTAATATTGTATTCATATTAAATTGAGTTCCATATACAAATATTTGATGTGAAATGAAAGCCCTGTGTCTTCATAAGAAAATTATATATAATAAGTGTATAATATAAAAGAGGTAAATTATAGTTAAACAAATATATAGCCCAAATTTTAGGTTTTGTTTTGGTTCAATTGCCTCCTTCCTTAAGGGGGTTAAACCAAATTGAATGTTATATCTTTTCTCTATACCATAAGAAATTAAAAATTAACCCCTGTCCTGCCACACACACAATTGGACTCTGCTGTTCATATCTTTCCAGATATAGAGTGCTAGACCTGCAACCTCTTTGAGTTTTTTAATTTGCAGAGAAAAATCCATTTTACGGTTACTTTTCAGACATTTTTTATTTTAAAAGATAAAAAAACTCTTTGCAGAAGGAAAGTTTCCATACATTAATCTTACATCCACTTCCTCGCTGGCTAAGTAAAACCGTATAACTTATAACGTCATTCACACAATGGGGGAGATATGTCAAAGTGTTCTTTTTCTAAAAAGTGATTTAAGGTACTAAAATTTGGTGCAATCACAATGGAAACCGGTAGGAAACCAGCAGGCACATTTACTCAGTGATTCATCCCCTCTTAGTCCCCCCCCCCCCACACTTTTAAGAATAGAATACTTTATTAAATCTCCCCGTATCTGCTTTAAACGTGTATAAATTACTTGTGAATAGCTTATCCATTAGTATGACCTTAACAAAAAACTACACTCACAGATAATAAATCAGAGAGATGACGTTCTGTTAACAACCTCCACAAACAATATGACTAAGTAATAACGTAAGAGATTTGTAAGAGACAGAAAGCAATCTCTTTAGGACAAATGACAAATCAGGGATGTCTACAAAGGACTTGCCTAATTCTGGTCCAGGATGATGTCTCCCTTTGTCTCGTTTTCTCTGAGGCTCATTTACTAAACAGTAAATTGAAAAATAAATTGCAATAAACATAGAAACATAGAACCATAGAATGTGAGAACAGATAAGAACCATTCGGCCCATCTAGTCTGCCCAATTTCATTAGTCCCTAGCCTTATCTTATAGTTAGGATAGCCTTATGCCTATCCCACGCATGCTTAAACTCCTTTACTGTATCCAAGATGGGCTTATAGCAGAGTTATAGAATTTGTCCAATTCAATATTTTTGCCTAAATTTTTTTAATTGACTTTAAATCACCTTTTAGTGAATAAACACATCTGTCTCTATTTCTCCTCTGTTTTTCTCCACTCTCTCCGAGATAGATAAATAGATAAATGTGATAAATGCATTTGTGTGGGAGCATGTGAGGAGAGAGATGTGTACATGTTTTGTGTTGTTCTAATGGAAGCTTTATGAAAAAACATTCATGAGATAACTAATCTAACTAATAAATACATCGGTTTAAGAGGTCCATGAGCAGCAGATACAAAGTGACAACAACTATAATAAAGTGCGTTAGCAGCGGGTAACAAATAACAAACTTGTCGTCGCTAGTTTCTTTTTTATACATGCACCAATGTGATCTAATGCCACTCTAATTACCTTTAAACCCTCATCTCAAACCATCCTGACCCCTTCCCTTTTATTATTAAATATATGCAGTAACATTTAACCCCTTAAGGATGGAGGCAAAGCATCAACCATCATTCATATTAAATGCACCCACACTTATTACACATCATAATGGAAACCTGTGGGTCCCTGTGTGACTATCTGCCTGTACAGGGCTGTCTTTAGAGAGGGGCAAACAAAGCAGCTGCCCCAGGCCCAGTAAATTCTGGGGGGCCCGAAGAAACTGCCTTGTGGGTCCCGCTGCCCTCAACCATTTCTTGTTCCCTATTCCTTAGGCCTGCCGGTGCAGCCGGGGACCCGCACACTTAGGAGGCCCACCGGGTGGTCCATGCACTAAGGACCATTCCAACACACAAATACTGCTCACTGCTAAGTACAAACCTGCAAGCATGGGTAAACGGTAGAGCCCAGCTGTCAAGGCATTGTTGGAGTTAAACGACAGATGAAGATCTATCTGCCCTTTATCTATGTGTGTGCGTGTGTGTGTGTGTGTGTGAGAGAGACTCTCTTCATGTAACTGGGTGTGTGGAATTGTCTGCCTGTAACTCTGTGTGTGTGTGACTGTGTATGTGACTATCTGCCTGTGACTGTGTGTTTGACTGCCTATAACTGTGTGTGTATGTGTTTGTGGGTGTGTGTGACTGTCTGCGACTGTCTGCCTGTGTGTGTGCGCCTATGACTGCTGTGGGTGTGACTGTCTGCCTATGATTATGAATGTTTATGCTTGTGTGTGTGTGTATGTGTGTGACTGTCTACCTCTGACTGTCTACCTCTGACTGTACAAGGCTGTCTACCTGTAACTGTGTGTGACTGTGCGCCTGTGACTGTGTGTGGCTACCTGTAACTGTGCGTGTAACTGTGTGTGAGTGACTATGTGCCTAGGACTGTGTGCATGTGGCTGTATTTGACAGTATATGTGGATAACTGTGTGCATCTGACCCCTGGGGCTGTGTGTATGTGACACTGCAAAATTCACATCTATATTCACACATGGGTCTACATGCATTTTGTTTTTAATCTGAATTAAATACCCATCACAGATATCACACACAGTCAATACACCCATAACAAATATCACACACGGAGGCGCAGACCAGAATCCCAGCACATTGAACCACCAAAGTTAAGCATGTCCCCTCCCTAACAGCAGGTAAGAGGTAATTAATATTTGTATTTTGGTTTGTTAATAATTCTGAATTTAATAATGTCCCTATTTAAATACTATACATGGATGAGCAGATGTTACCAGGGAGGGGTGCTGTGAACATTTTTGGTACAGGGCATCTAAAGGATTAAGACAAGCCCTGCATACTACCTCACAAATATAAGAGTATCCCCACGTCTCAGTTTTTCAGGTGTTTTCACTCACAGACCCAAATATATTAGATGCTCTTTTTAGCTTGTAAAATTGACAAGTGATTCTCTGGGCCTATGTTGCCTTTGAGACAGTATAGCAGCCCAGGAGAGTAAATTACCCCCATGATTGCTTATCGTTTTTAACCCCTTAAGGACACATGACATGTGTGCCATGTCATGGTTCCCTTTTATTCCAGAAGTTTGGTCCTTAAGGGGTTAAAAGTAGGCAACTCAGGGTATTCCGAATGGTATAATTGGAGCTGTTTGGTCTAGCCACTTTATCACAAATGCTGGCCCCATTTAGTGTCCTATTTTCTTTTTTTCATACACATGAATTATATTTTTACACATGAGTTAGTGCAATAAAGCCTCTGTATTTTTATTTGACACTATTTCAGTACCCACACGTACCAGTTTTTCAGTTTTGTTCGGTAAGTTACAGGGCCAAATATATTAGATGCCCTTTTCAACTTTGACTTTGTAAAATTGTCAAGTGATTTTCTGGGCCTATGTCACCTACCTTTGAGAGTACATGGCACCCTATGAAAGAAAACTACCCCTGTGAAGGCATTTTCACAAGTTTTCTAAATGTAGTATACTGAGTTGTAGCCACTTTACAATGGATGGGTTTAATGTAAACAGGGTCAGGGAACCCAGACGTCAGAATAGTCTGTAAAACAAGCCAATAGGTCGGTACAGGCAGATAACAAAGTGTAGTCAGGACAAGCTGAGGTTAGGCTTGTCCCCAACTGCAATCTGCAGCTTGGAAGGGAGCGGGTACGCGTGGGAGGACTTATCACAGTGGCTTGCTATGCCACCCCAAACTGCTTTTACGTCCATATGCCACCGGACGGCATAGTATGCCGTAAACAATCTGCATAGATCTGATACATTCAGTAATACATTTCTTTTGCTTATGCCCTTAGGCTAGAAAATGTAACAGTTAACATTATAGCTTTTATATTTGGATCATTTTATAGAATAGATTTGGAGTCAAAGTCTGCCCGAAAGCCACAAAACCCTAAATCACGTACACGTATTTCTCCTTAAAAGGAACTGTCACTTAAATAGAAATGATATCAGATAGTGAGGAATAAAATGAAATCAAAGAGAAAGATATGTATTTATTTAAATTGAAAGTATTTGAAAGCACAGCAAAACAAAAATATACAAGTTAAAATTAAACCCAGGCAGTCAATGTAGATAAAATCAGTATATCCTTAAAATCAACTGTAATATTAGAATCATTACTTTCACAGCAGTAATATACGGTGGTGTCAACATTTTTTGGGCGATATGGCAAGTTGGAAGTCTAAGGCACAGGAGTTGAATTTTTGATGCTAGAGCCATTTAAGTGAAAAACAAATGGAGAAAATGTTATTTATTTTATAGTCACTGACAAGCCTGGAATTTTCCTGGAAGTTTACAGTCTTAGCCAAACCAACAGGGTTTTTCCCCCAAACCACACATAAAAAAATGATGCAGATATTTGCAGCAACTAAACGATTTTTCTCCGGAAAATGGGAAAATCCACACGCCGCACCTCTAGCAAATCGGCCATAAATTGAGTTTTAAAAAAGAAAAAAAAAGTCAGAAAAGCAGCTAATGCTAATTATTAAAATACATACAGATTTGTGAAGTGTCACAAGTGTCACTAGTGGATGGTGAGTCATAGATCACCCACAAAGCTTGCTAAAAAAAAAAATCTCTGCTTATTGCCCAAATAAAAAACATTCTGTCAAGTAACCTGATTTCTTAAAGGAACACTGCAATGTTAAGAATACA